AGGCTCACCCACACCACACCCTCGGGCCAGAATAACCTGAAGATGAATTTGGCACACTTTTTTGGGTGTTCTTAACCTTTCTACTTTGTGTTCGTGAGTGTTCGTGGGTGTTCTTTGGGTGTTCGTGGATGTTCGTGGGTGTTCATTCAAAATGTATGCTTAAAAAGCGAAACTATAAAAAGTTTTTTGGGTGTTCGTTAGACGTTGCTATACTCAGCTCGACGAGCTCTATCGATTGGGTAACTCAGATTTTAATTTGGGGGTGTTCGTGGCTGTTCGTAGCTGTTCGTGGGTGTTCGCGTCTTTTAGCAATACCCATAAAAATGTGTTACTGAACAATTCTCAACGATTTAAGCCAATTCAGAATTTGTTGTTCGTTTTTATTATCTTAAAATCAAAAAGATATTGTGTATGTAGAGCACGAGGTTTTAAATGAAATATACCGATATTGATATTGTTCCCAACGCACCATTCGTCTTTGGCACCGAACTTGAAAGACTTTGACCAAGCTAATTCATCTTCCTGTGTGTCTTGCATACATTATGGAAAAAGAGGTACATTTAGGTATGCACCGGTATCGGTATTCATACCGAAATACCGATACCGACAATACCGAACTTCGGTATATACCGATACCGAATATACCGACTTTTTTCACTTAGAATTTTTTGGATTTTTTTATTTGAAATGAGATGTTTTAGTTTAGGACACCCAGAATGAATCAGGGATGGAAAACAAGAGCTTTGTTTGCTTTCTAAAGCCAAAGTTTTTCTTTTCTTTCTATCTGAACATGCTCAAAATACACAGCTGAGTGTTGTTTATACGTTCTGCTTGTCCAGGATGCTAAAATACCTCATTTCAAATGAAAAAATCCAAAAAATTCCAAGTCAAAAAAAGTCGGTACTTTCAGTATCAGTATAAATACATTTTTTCGTGTTTCTTCGAATGAAATCAACCAGAACATGCGAGAGAGCGTTATATAATTCGCTGAAGGGTTTCAAAGTCGACATGTCAAATGGAAATACATCATTCTTGATCAGGAAATATTTTTCGTTCAGGGCCTAGCTCTTGCAAATGGACTGTCCTTGAGTAAAAAAATTTTAATTTCAACGACAGAAGTTAAAAGCGTTGCTTGTGTCAGCCAAAAATCTCCCTCTCGTCCAAATCCAAATAGTTGTTTGTATAAACGCAGATAACGTGACTTATTTCACGATTCAGTTCAGACGATTGAACTTTTGCCAGCAGACCCAGTTGACCTAAAACAACAGTTTTGGCGATGCATGACCAAACATAATCTACGTGTGATGTTCGTACAAAACACATCCATTTTCCATTTAGGACATTGTATTTTCTCGCCAGATGTTCCATATGGGAAACGTTGAGTTGTTTTCCTAATAGTTTATACTCTTGACACAACCCATCGACATTTGAAGTACCGAAATTCTTTATTTTCGATTGATTATGCACGCATATTCATGCGCAACCTGTTGAATTATTAATTTTGGATGGCGGCATGTCAATGAGAAAGCGATCGATCTTCGAATTATCGTGTAACTGCAACCAGCCATTAATAAATGAAGCATACTCTGCTTCATCAACTTTCATTAGATCGCTCTCGTCTTTGGACATGGTTTCTACTTTGATGAAATATCAAAGTGATTGGAATCTTAAACTAGGCTAGTAAAACGAAAACATGGAAGATCTAAGCTGTTAGTGAAGAAATTAAAGCCATTTCTCTTATTCGTCTATATTTCGAATAAAAAATGGCTTAGTCTAAAGCATCATGATGCTTAAAAAATGCATCTACGTTGCACAATGAAACTATCCTTGGTGCATTTTAACTTTACTTTTTACACTAGATGTCAGTCAGACATCGATACAACTTGAAAGTAACTTGTGAATCGCCGTATTTTTGGCTGTGACACTGGATGAGACACTGGAAAAACATTAGTTAATCGCGAAACACTAATTACCATCAGGATACAGTCTTCGGTGGTTGATCTGGTGGTAACTTTGGATCTTGTCCATATTGTAGTTTGAATGGCGAATATCCAGTTGTAAAATGTTGACCGGTGTTATATGCAAATACAACAGCAGGAAGGAATTCGTCCCAATTGTTTGATTCTTGGTCTTGAAGTTTGGCTAATTGCGGAACGAATGTTGCATTGAATCTCTCAACCATACCATTTGTCTGTGGGTGATATGTTGTTGAATATGATTATGTTATTAAATATGATTATGTCCAAGTAATTGTGATAATGCTGTCATTAACTGGTTCTGGAAATGAGAGCCACAATCTGATATTATCGTTGTCGGTACTCCATATTTACATATATATTCATTAAAAATCGCTTGTGTAGATGTTCTATATCCATCCATTTTTACACACGCGGATTTCAAATTGATTCACTCATAAAGCTACGGGGTTTTAGCTAAATCCATCGTCCTTTGTATTAAGGAGAGCATAAATATTTAAAGTTGGGTAATTTTGATCTTTTTGTAACATCGAGCAATTCTGCTGAGTAAGATTATTGCAGAAGTTGGCTATTTTTGTTTCTTTCTCTTAGAAACTTTCTAAAAAGTTTTTTGCATTCCTACTGACACTACCCCGAGCCAATTTTGATGGATTCATGTACAATTTACAATCTTCTATCGAAAAATGTGGTTTTTATCGACTGTAGTTCTAGTTAAAAACTCAACCTATCGGTGATATGTAGCGCCCGTCGCACAAAATGCTCGCTACGCTCACTTGAGGATTTCTAGTGTTCTTTCAAGGCGGACAACGAAGGACGGAGGAGAAAGTTTTCTGCAAACAAAATTTTTCAAAAAATCAGGGCAAAGCTTTCGTCTGAAAAGTGCGCTGAGTTCAGATCAATTTCAAATCTGCAAATTGTTTAAAAGTCTGATCTCGTATCGTGTACAATTGTCGTTTCTCGACTATAGCATTTCAGCATCTTAGTTCGTATTGTTGCAAAATGTTAAAAACTGTTGTAGGAATGGTTTTTTTTCAGAAAAATAAGTCTAAAAATATAAATGAGGTGTCTATGCAATGAAAATACGCTTTTTTCTATTTCGACTACGTTCATCTGTTATTTTTTAGAAAAACAAAAAGAGAAGTAAGATTGCACATTCAGTTATAAATGTGTGAAACATTTTGAAATGGGGATTCAAATTTTTGTGAAACGAAGTAACTGAATGTAAGGCTTTACCTTCTCATTTTCCTTCTTCTGCAATTTTGTATATATATTAGACTATATTTGTGATTGAGCAATACTTAAGTAAATATACATTACCAATATAAAGGAAGAAAAAAATGGAGTAATACAGCACAAGCAAACAAGAGGGTGTCCATTTTTCTGATCACCAAATAATGTGCTGTGGACAAGGGTTCGAGCATAGCTCTTTGATAACCCAAATCTCAGAAAACCAAGTCCTACAGTTAAATCTGGAAATTCGTTGCGAAAACCTCATTCTATACACATACCGATTTCAAATTGATTCACTCATAGAGCTACGGGGTTTTAGCTAAATCCATCGTCCTTTGTATGAGAGCATAAATATTTAAAGTTGAGTAATTTTGATCTTTTTGTAACATCGAGCAATTCTGCTGAGTAAGATTATTGCAGAAGTTGGCTGTTTTTGTTTTAACAAAACGGTCGAAAATACTTACCATTTAGCTGCAATATCAGGGGATCCGAGACCTACTTTTGAGCTCTGTGAACTGTCCCCAGGAAAACTATATGTAAACTTTTCGAGATATTATTGTCTTAGATACCGTTTGAATAGCTCTACAAAAGCCGCCAAGTTCTAAACGCGGCCGAACAAATTTTGGAGTCAGTTTTCCACAAATCCTCGTCAAAATATTAACCTCATATTTCATAAAGAATGAGCTTTGATCTAAAAGAATACGGAACTATCGTATAACGGACAGAACATGTATGTATATATTCGTTTCTATACCATACATGACTGGATGTTTTTTTCTTTCTATGCACACTATAGAGAGAGATATAAAGCAAGAAATGGAGAAAAGAACAAATTTTATCGTCTTATCCAAGAGAAAGATTCCGTTCACTATGAGATTAGTGTTTATTCTGGCTACTTCTCAGATTAAAAAGTTAACAAATTTGGAAGTATCTTCTGCAGTTTTTCTGCCAGTTTGTAGTACACAACTTGTACTCTATAACACGCTATTTTTTAGAAAAAGGTACCGTTTAGTTTTTGAGTTGTAAGGCTGCTAATGTCACAGTTGAACGAATGAAAAAAGTAGGTATCTACTCCAATATAAAAGCCAAATGGGTTTTCACTGAACTTTTTAACTGTTTAATGAATAGCAATTTGAGTAGAAAATACGAATATAGCATTCTCATTCTCGAATAGTTCTTTAGACGAACAAATTCTTTGTGCACAAGTACACAGATATTTGATGATGTTAGTTTTGTAGTTTCTCGGTTCATCACTCGGCCGTTTTAAATATAGTCCTGTGTGCGTAAACATTCGATAGACGTAGGTAACCAGTTTATCACTTTTTCGTTCTTTCATTACAATCAGCATCGATAATTTATTATTTTTTCCGATCTTATTTGCGCCATAGGGGATTTCAATCTATACGGTGGTTAGCAGTTCGTCGACCGGAGCTGGATAATGTAGCTTTTGCGTTGGACTAAGTGTATAAACAAATATGTTGGAAAGTAACAAATAACCACAAGATTTCAAAACATGAGCATTCTGGATCTTTTTTCGATAGGACTTTTTGTTTAAAAATTGACTGCTACGATTTTTTTGCGCTCATCGAGCTCTATCGTGCACAATTCAACTCTAATTTGGATCAAGTAAGATAGCAAATCTAGACAAATTAGTCGATTTCACTGACAACTTTAAATCATGTAGAATTTACACACTAAATTTGCATTTTATTATCACAACTTTTCACTAAATATAAACATTAGATCGAAAAAAATCTCGAACAATATTTGGTATTTAAAAAACAGAACATTAATCAGCGCAAGCAAATAGTAAAAAAGCTAATTGGAAACTATAATAACTGTTACAATTACAATGTTTCAACTTTTTTGAAACCTCTAGAACCAAGTACATAAATGTCACTTCCAATTTTGACAGTCTTCCCACGAAACTGATCTGCTACAGATAAAATATCTTCTTTCATTGTATGAATTGATCCATGTGTTTTATCGGCTATGTAAATTAATCCTGGATTAACATCTTCTTTGGTTTTGGCTCCACAAACAATTACTTTAACGGGTAACTTAACTTGATCTAACAGTATTAAATCTCTTGGTGTAGCAGAATTGTCAGCTATGTGAACAACTGATTTACATCTGGGACAATCTTTTATTCCACGCATGATTGCTTCAATATCATTTTCTGGAATATCACCGCCATCTCCATTTTTTATTCCCGCTTTCATTGTCTCAAGAATAACATTCAAATCCGAAGAATTTGTACCATAAATTCCACCAGTTGATCCAATTATTTTCTCTGCAGTTCGTTTATTATTACCGTCATTAAAGAATACATAATATAAAGCTCGATTATTACTTAAAGCATTCAATTTCAACCATAAATAAATAGAAGCATCGCATGCCTCCATATTCTTGGTTACATCGGCAACCACGAGCATTTCGGTCCAATCTTTGTTTCGCTCTAAAACTTTTTCTACTGTACGATCATAATGCATCTGTGAACCACTAATAATATTGTCCAATTCTTCTGTGTCTCTGCCTGAAACACGATAAATTAGATCATAAATAGTTCATTTGATTTCTTACATTTTTTACAGAAAATCATAATTTCTGAGGGTGCACGGTCCCTGGAAAGGTTTTAGTAAAAAGTGTATTTAAAACAAATTCATGAATATAAACCTGCAATACGTTTAGATCACTGTTAATCATGATTGTTCCCCGAAAGAATAAGTATCGGTTCATTTCAGTTAATAGACTAACGACGAAAGGTCCCCGAGTGTGCCATTGCTTTTTGCTTGAACTCTAATGGACAATAAGTAATCGATTGCGCTAAATCCGAATCTGACATCGGTTTGTGTTGCTAGGTCTCCAGAGGCCGGTTTTATGGAAAAATAACCAACACTTTTCTTAAAGGCCCCCCTCAGAAATGACGATTCTCGGATTTTGAGATAAGCACATACAAACATAGCCTGAAGTGTCTACTTTCAGAATACATATAATTCGATACCATATTAATGGTTTTTGAGAGGGTTTCTGGAGGCCCCCTATACAAAAACTTACTATTTTATTTCGAACTGACGCACTGATACTATGAAAGTGATTTTTGTACAAAACGAATACCTAACGATGCTAAGTACAATGCATGGATGAACAAGCTTAGAGAGTCCTCAGAAGAGTTTCCTGAAACAGGTTTTCTAGGAGATCTTTGAAAAACTAGGACGTGTGTAAAAAAGCTGAAACCTGATTTTTCAGAAACGCGATCTCTGGAGGTCTAGCAGTACAAACCGATGTCAGATTCGCATTTAGCGCCGTCGATTACCCACTATTCACTAGAATTCAAGCAAAAAGCGACTGCACACTTCGGAACCTTTCCTCGTAAGTAAATAGCGGATGAATGTCAATTTATTTATCATAGCAAATCAAAAATTAACTAGTTAAACTAATTAACTACTCTAGCAAATGATCATGATTCTATACTATCTGTACAGGCAGTGATAAATTCGTAATACGCTGTAGTTGTAAGATTTTTTATATATATTCCACACGAGATCTTACAAGACGGATAATTACATGTTTGATCGAGGAAATAAAGCATATTTGATAGTTTATAATTTTCAACAAAATACGCTATTTCAAGAGGCTGAAGAAACAGTAGTTTTAGCAATAATAAAAACGCACTATTTTGTTTTTTCTTTTCTTTCTTTCCGGGGTAATTTTGTTATAATCTTTTATCATCGGGGGGAATTTCCTAATCTCACGGGTAGATTCTGTACCTCTGCTAGCGATCATGCAGCTCAGCACACGAGACACACTAGACTAATCACTTGCAATGTATATATATAGAAATAATAAGTAACCTGAAAACTTACCAGAATTATGTTCTTGACAATTCATTCCTGAATAGGATTTTGGACATACGCAAATGTATGTCTCTCCATTAGGTTTACATACACCATTATTCAGACATAGAGTACGACTTGAACAGGGATTTGGTTTGACACCGCCACCAAGACCGCCACCCAAAACTCCACCCATACCACCGCCAAGAGCTCCTCCAACTGCTCCACCAATAACGCCTCCTAAACCACCCAGGGCAGCTGAACCTAAACCACCTAGAAGTTTACTTCCCTCTGATCCACCCAAAATACCTCCAACTGCACTCCCGAGAGCACCCCCTACTGCTCCTCCAGCACTAGCTCCAGCTGCTCCACCAGCACCACCGCCGAGTGCTCCACCAGTACCACCTCCGACTGCTCCACCATTACCACCATTGGCAGCTCCGTCGGACATAGCCGTCCGTTTAACTAAAGAACAAAATAAAAAGAACATAGGATTATGCTCATGTTCATAGCCGTCCGTGTCTTCATCGAATCAGAGTGGATATGATGTTAAATTCTAGTGGAAAAGTCAAAGAAGCTGCTTCTGTATCGAATTTGTTGAAAAGAAAAAACCCATAGATTTCATGCTTTCTTTAATGAAGTCAACGATATCATTTAACCAAAACTCAGGAAAGATACGGATAGTGAAACTTTTCTGGAAACGTTCGAAGATTTCTGCATCGAATCCTGGAGCGTAATGCGTGCTGAACTACGTTTTTAGAATAATAAAAAACAAACGCATACCTGGTGTAGCATATGATGCATATGACACTAAGATAACCGCAATAATGAATGATTTCAACATTCTTCTATTCTGCTTGTCTGATATAATGTATAAGTTATAGAAACCAAAATATGATCGAATGACTTCCAGTAGCGAATATCGGGTATTTATATGTTTTTCTTCAGAGCTTTTATCTCTCTTTTTTTCGTCAACAAAGGGCTTGTATTTACAAAACAATTGTCTGTCTTTGTGTGAAATGTGACTGTGAAAACAATGAGAGAACTAGATTGTTCTATTTAATCTTGGTCGTCGTTCATGGGTATATCTGACGGCAATAGTATACACACAGTTTATTTATAGATGACTAGTTGTTACTTCACAATCTTCACCATACTACAGAACTTGTCTATAAGCGTGATTTGTAAAGAGTAGGATACGTTTGATCTATAAAAAATCAAAAGAAAGAATTCGATAGGCAAGATATGTTTAACATACCAGAAAGAACAAAAGTGGGCGGTATTCAATAGAATGAGAGAAAAAGATAGACGACAGTTTGACTTGTAGCAAGTGTAGCTAAACTGTTAAATATATACATATCTATATATAACTCGACTATCGTGGACTATTGTGGACAACAACAATGCACTAGATGAATATTAAGTTGATAATGAGTAATCGTCGAGTTACCATAGTAGAAGAAGAAAGTAAAAAATAGGATAATCTGAAAAAAGCAAGACGAGACAAACTTTGTTATCGTCAGATAACGATAAAATGAACAGGAGTTAAAAATCTCTTATGAAAGATTTAAAAGATGATCAAACATGAGATAGAATCAGTTGGGAGAAATCGGATCAATTTCGTATTTTCGTGTAATAACTCGGTGATTTTTATCCTAGAAATCTAGAAAATTTTAACATTTTGCTAGCGATTGATATGAAATTATTCTAAAATTCATATTAATTACTTATCTGTGATTGGAATTAAATGAGTCCTATCGCTCTGATCCGATTTACTCCAATTGAGGGAATATGTATCAGTCAACCAACGTACGACACGGTAAATCGGAGCAGAGCGATAGGATTCATTTAATTCTAATCACAGATAAGTAATTAATATGAATTTTAAAATATTTTTTACATCAGTCGATAGAAAAATGTAGCAGAAAATGTGGCAGAAAACTCGGGTTTTCATTGTGTCACATTATGACTTCCCGTAAATTTAATCCAACCGAGTTAAACATTTTACCAGATGTCCTCAAAGTCATTCCGCAGATATAATTTTTACGAAATTTTTTAAGACCTTTCCTGGTCGAGTTATAGGAATAATACTGAAAACCCTATATAGAGAAATCCTATAACTGGGTAAAGAAAAGTCAATAATAAAATTCCAAAAAATTATCTTTGAAATAGTGTCTTAAGTACCTCTAATAGAATTTTTAACTCGATCGGATGAAATTTAAGGAAGGCGTAATGTGACATAATGAAGCCTGGTATCAAAAAAATAGTTTTTGAGAAAAGCGCATATTGTACATAAGTTACTTTTTTCAAAGCATTTGCCGCGGTGCTTATATCTCTGTGAAAAGCCATCGGAAAATTCATATGTGAAAAAAGGGTTTTGATTGTCTAACAAAAACTAAAATCGCACCATACAAGTCTCTTACGAGGACGGTGCCCAACTGTTAAATTGTCTTTTCATCAAACCTAGTTGGTTTTAGGTATTCGACCACGCCGATTCCGAATATCATCATGCCAGCTATCCTTAGGCTCCGTTTCATACTCTAAAGGATTGAGAAATCTCTCAGTTCTGATGTGGGTCAAACAATGCAGAACGGATCAATATAAACAGAATAATAACGTGTTTCGCAGGTAAAGAAAACTATAAGATGGTGGACTAAATATTCTTTATGTTACGTAAATTGTTTTCTTTTCATCGAGAAAAGACCATTTTCGTAACTTCTCAAAAGAGATACAAAGCTGTCCTAATTGACATTGCAAGATCAAACAACATCAAAGGGGAGAGGTGAAACTGAGTGTGAATTTGCAAAAAAAAGTATCTCTTTTGAGACGTAGCCACAATTTTTGCATTTTTAACTTTATCAGCTGGAACGACCTTCAGAGGGTATAGTATGATAGTATAGTGTATTCTGGCTCTTAATATTTTCACATCATATATTTACTTTTACTTATTCTGTATATTGTCATCTTTTTGTAATTCGAAGATTGAATGCAAAATGTATCCATTATGTGAAGAAAGTCGCTGCTATATTATCAACAAGTGGAAAGAAGATCGCATCAATGTCCCATGGACACATGCACATGTCCTCAACTGCCATTTGAGTACGGTACAATGTATCATTATTCATTATCAATGACATGATGATGTAAACATAGGACAGTATTACTTGTCCATCTTTGCTCGATTCAGCGAAAATCAAACAGCCATGTCCTTGATAACGAATAATAATACGTTATACTCTACTCATATGACAGTTGAGGACATGTACATGCGCCTATGGGACATTGATGGGATCTTCTTTTCACTTGTTGATAATATAGCAGCAATTTTTTCATATAACGGATACATTTTGTATTCAATCTTCGAATCACAAAAAAAGATGATAAAATACAGATTAAATAAAAGTAAACATATGATGCGAATGTGTAATTTTTATACTAATAAAAAGTTATGTAATTTGACAGTATTTTTTTATAAAATATATAATTTTCTTCGGTGTTAGCTTGTTCCCATTTCAAATGATTGTTGTTAACTATCATTAACATTATCAATTAGAATTATATTTATATTTACAATTTTATTAGTAACATTAGTCTTGTATCACTTATAAAGATTTTTACATAATGATTCAAATGTCTAATGAAAATTGTACAATTTTAATAGGAACTAAAACAAACTAGTCAACTTATCTGTACGTATAATGGAAAATGACTTTATTTTACTATTGTCAATGTTTTTGTTCTTTCTGTCATTTTGATAGTTTATTTTTACTATTATTTATTTAATATTTTGATTAGTTTTTGTTTTCTTTTTCGTTCATCATTGTCTCTCAGTACAACTTTTATGATAATTAATATATTTTTAATGCAAGGCGTAGTGGTCTTATATTTCATTTAACCTAAACTTTTAATAGCTATCGTCATCTTCATCAGTATCGCTTGTTGTTATTGAATCAACATCTGTTTCTGAATTATCTTCATCGTCATCATCATTAGCATCGTTATCCGTTGCTGAACTGGTATTGTCACTAGTGTCACTATCAGATTGACCATCTTCATCTGTATCGTTATCTGTCGTTGAACCATCATCCTTGCACGTTCCACTATTTGTTACTAAGTCATCATCTTTATCAGTATCACATGTACATCTACATTTATAACTACCTTTTTTGTATTGAAATCGCTTTGCATTACTATTGGTACTTTTAATCTTTCGTTTTTTTTGACAACATATACTAGAGCTTGCCATTGGATTAATAGTATCACACATACTACAAGATGACAAACTATTTAAATTACTGTAAGTACATTTGATGCAATCCCATGTTGAAGCAAAACATTTCTGTATAAAATGTCCTT